TTGTGCAAGCAAAGGCTGTCCACTGTTTGTATCACCAATTAGGTAGCTTCCTACTTATATACGTTGGGCTTCAAGGGAACAGAAAACTTTGTCATTAACTATAATGTAGTTGTCATCATATTAGAAATAACTACCACTGCTAGCGTAAAAGGTTTTAGTCTAAATTACATTTTTCATGCGGGATGTGCAAAATGTGACATATGAAGGAATCAAAGATAGTTTAAGCACAATTATGTTTGTTGATGGTGTTAAATTGTGGAATTACTGTTGTGAATTATTGTGGCCATTAAGTCAGTTCAACATACAGACCATGCTAACAAGTCTTCACCAACCTTCTAATGTGGCACCACACTTGTAAAGTAGCTTCCCCTTCCATAAGGTTTGTTAGTCTGGTTGTTGTTGCATGAAAATGACCAAATTTATTTGGCTATCCATTTGGCTTTTAAAAAACTGCGTCTATGAGGTCATTATACTTACTAAGGCTTATCATTTCCATGATTCCGTAATGACTGGGTGCATTGTGTGCCACCAAGTAACTATAAGATGACTTTTGAAGTTCACTGTACTGTGATGGAATAATTATAACTGTTGGTAACTCTGTGTTCATTTGATTAAAACATTATTACAAAATGAGAGTGCTATGAGGAGAGGTTGCCCACACACGTTCTCATCTAGTTAATGTTTCAAAATTTTCATCAGGCTTTTCACATCTGCCCCTAAAATATGTTTTAATATTTGAACTCTATTTTGTTTTTAGTTTTGTAAATAATTCTTCATCAAAAATTGATCATAGGCATTTGAAATTAAATACAAAGCATGGTGCATCACAACAGAATTGCTTTGCATTTGGCATGAATTTATTTGTTTTGGGATTTGGATTGGATTTTATGCCCACGGGTATAGATAGGTTAAATAACTGAGCTGGCCTTTGCCTGACCTTATTAGCTAATCTATCCAAATAATGGAAATCAGGTGTTCAAATCACTTTCCATGGCCACAGAATAAAATATTTAGGCACCTTGGCATGCAGAGAGTGTCTAAACATTTGAGAAAGAATGGGTCACTCTCAGTTCCAACTTGGTACTGACAGGATGCCAGTTGTGCAACAAGTCCAATCGAGAAAATTCTTCAAAGTGGACGTGTTTTCTTTTTTTCAGGAGCTGGGCCTGGCTCCTTAGCTCCAGCGCAAGGATCTCTGAATGCTTCAGAATACTAAGTGTTTTTGGACCATTCCATGTTCCCAAGTTTGTGAGAGCATTGCACAAAGCAAGGTCCATAAAGACATTGGTCAGAGAGTTTTGTGGGGATGACCGTGACTGGCTCTCACCGTGCTGACCCATACCCCACAGAACACCTTTGGAATGAGTTAGAGCAGAGGCTGAGAGCTGGGCCGTCTCGTCCAATGTTAATGTATGACCTAACAAATGTGGTTCTGGAAGAATAGAAAAAAATATTAATATGTACGTGAAAGGCAGGTGAGTGAATACTTTTGGCAAAATAGTGTGTATTCATTAGAAATAAATGAAAACCACTCTATCTTTAATGGTGGCTTTCAATATGGAGTTTCCCCTAAACTAAAAAAAAAGAAAGCTTGAGTATATTTTGGCACCTGATTCAAGGGACAGCTCTCTGTGGGGGCAACCAGTAAGAAAATCTATTATGCTGTTGCACTCTAAAGGCACCTAAGAGAATTTTTAGTCATGTCAACTTGAGACAGTGTTTTAATGGAGACAGAGGGGGGTCAAAGTGAACTGCAGAGACTCAGCAGTTCCCTAAGGAACAGAGAGCCACAAGAGACTGAAAATCCAGAATGAAAGAAGACGTTTGAGAGATGTTTGTTTTATAAAAAATAAACAAATAGAATAAATGAAAAGATAAAAATCCACAGTCTACCATCTATGGCTTGGAAAAAAAGAAAGTAATATAGCTACTCCATTCAAATATTCATGAAGCTGTTAAGTCTGAGAGATGTCCTATTTTAAACTCAGAGACTGAATTTGAAGTCTGACTTGTGTATTCATCTAAAAGTGTATGTGGGGTCTCAGAGAGACGTCCAGTTTGTGTGTATTTTCTGTGTGTATAGGTTGAAAGCTTATGTAACTTGATAAGATGGGATCTTGTAAGTCTATTTTAGTGAGCAAATTACAGTTTGTGTGCGTGTGTGTGTGTGTGTGTGTTTGTGACCTCTGTCTGCCGTTTTGACACAGCTTTGTAAATGTTCACAGAACACCATCTGTGCATGTACGTGCACACGTGATTGTATCCATGTGTGAAACTATCTATAATCTACTCATTGTGTGAAAAACTAGGCTGCATCTGGGTAATGATTTGTGTAAGTGTCTTACAGCTCCTGTGTGTATAATGGCTCAGGTTGTTACGTGTGTGTGTGCGTGTATATCAGTCCATGCACAAGAGTGATTGTTTGAGTCCATACTCGGATCTAATTTGTTGTGTATGTGTGTGTTTTTGAGGCCAAAATGGTATGTCTCATATAAAATAACTTTGCCACACAAAACAGGCAGAAGAACACAACCACGGATTGATGGTTGAAGAAAATACTCAGTATTCCAGTCCCACCTTGCACACACACACACACACACACACCCACACACAGATAGCAGTATTTATGCGTTTGTTTTATTGTAACATTACAGTAACTTGATAAATCTCTTTGTATCTGTTTCTTTTATCATAACATGCATGCACAATATTTTAACCAAATTTTCACAGCCTCACACACGTGCTGAGTGACCAGCAAAACAGAAAGATTTTAATTAATTCTTAAATATTTAATGTTTTTTTATTTAGTTTTTGCATGTTTATTTTAAATAGGCTCAGGTTTGAACTCCCTCTCTAATATTTTTTCTTTCCTTTTGGAAGCAGATAACTCACTTAACTCACATCTCTACTCGTGGATTGACATTCTGCTGAGCAAGCATTTGTGGGTGCACACTGTGCTTCACTGTGCGTTCTGACCTCACTAAGGCTCTGATTTGTGTGAGTGATGTAGAGGGCTCACCTGCATCCTGCAAATAGTAAGGTTAGGGTAATTTTCTGCCATCAGGATTCATATTTCATGGTTCTCTGTTAAACCTTTGCCTTGAAGATGCTTTAGGTAGAGGTATTGTCACTTGGTCTAGGTTTGTTGGATACCTTAAAATGGCATAAACTGTTGCATTCATCCGTTTGACCTTTGACCCCTTTTAACTATCCTGTTCAGCTAAGGGTCTGCACCCAGAATATGTCTAAATGGCATACATGGATTGATGTCTTTAGGCTCAAAGGAATTTTGTGTGAGTGTTGCTTTAACAAATATAAACTGAACTTGTTGCTAAAATCTCAGAAAGTAATAAAAAATGTGATATGCCTTATTTACCTGAATATATACTTTTATTAACAGCAACATTGAGTCTGCAAAGTGTTGAAAATCTTTTAAGGTGCCTTGTTTTTTTTTCATTTTATACAGTCAGGGTTGAAAAAAAAAAACGTTTAGGTAAATTTGATTAATTTCTACATGTCCTTTGTCAGTGTAGATTGTTTGGTTTTAGTGAGTCTTTGTGTCTTGTACAGTTTTTTACCCTCTTCTTTCTACTTTCCAAATCAAATTAAATGTATACAATATATGACAATAACTGAAGATTTCAAACTGAAGAACAGAAAAATCGAAAAAAAAAAAAAAAGACTCGAGTCAAGGTGTGGAAGTCGAGAAGTGGAGAGCTCACAAAAACTCACCTTGTTGGCTCTTTTCACAGAAATGAGCTTGTTATTATCAAGTGCTGGACTATCTTAGGGGGAGTGAAATACTTGTGTCAAAAAGGCTGAAACTTGGCTCATTTTCCTGTACTTTTCTTTGTGCACCAGTCCAGCATCTACCTCTGCCTGTTTCTTAGTACAAAAACAGCTTTTTTCTCTTCACCCAGGTACATACTTAGTGTTCACGTCTCACTGGGTCTCTGTGTTCCAAAAGTCATAATCATTTCTAACACTTTCCACAGGGTCTCCCTTCCTCCCCTCTCAATCTGCCTTTATTGCCTTCATTATATTGCACTTAATCAACCTCCTTTTGTGCTTTGCTCAGGCAGGCTTCTGATCTAGCTCTTGTCTGCAGCTTGTTTAATCTCCCGCCCTCTGTTTTTTTCTCTCTCTCTGTGCCTGTCATTCTCCTTGCTCTCTTGAATTGATCTATCTTACTTTGTCTTGCTCTTTTGGAAAAAGAAAATCACTCTAATAAATGTATCTAAAGTAAATCAAATTACATGATACTTTTCTCTGCTGTTTTGGTTTGTGTTACCTGGTTTTACTTAAAGGATGTCTCCTTCCATTCCCCTCCAATCTTAGGCCCTTCACAATATTCCTCTTTCATCTCAGATGGTTGCACCCTCAATCTTAGGCGGCACATGCTTGTACCTGCAAATGATGGGATACGCTTTGATGCTGCTATAAACATGTGTTAAAGCCAGCACAGCCAGTTTCCAGGACCCCAGGAGGTTTTTTTGCACTTATTCAGTAGTTGATTGACATCCTCCTCTTAGTGTGTCAAATGAAAAAAAAAAACTTTGTGTCCTTCTGCTTGTTTATCAGGCTGCAACCACAACACCTTCAACACACGCATATTGTTTTATTATTATTATTGAGACACATTGATACTCATTCTCAGCTATGAATTAGCTGGTGTTTTGAAGATATATAGGCCGCATTCATTCACATACACAAATAGGATAATTTTAGAGTAATCTGACCCATTGTGAATTCAATTCATTATAAATTACACATTTTCCAGCTCATTATTCACACCAGGCTCAGCATAGCAAGATCCCAGCAGTATAAGGGGGTGCGGTTTTCTGTTAAAGCTTTCAGTAGGAACAAATTTAGAGGGAGGAGCATGATAATAATAATATAATAATATATCAACTGAGTTTTTACCTGACGTTTGAATTACCACAATGATCTCATAATGATCTATTTTTTCCGTAATTACTTTTGGTCGTCTTAAATCAAACATGACAAAATTTGTTGATATTTGTTTCTTTTTACATGTGTTTCACAGGATGATTGAATACTCACTGGACCTTCAGAACATCAACTTCACTGCTATCAGAACAGTGAGAGTGCTGCGGCCTCTCAAAGCAATTAACAGGGTGCCAAGTAAGTTGTAAGTTGTTGTAAGTTGTTTGTCTTAAGTTGTGCAGACTGGTTACACACACACACACACACACACACACACAAACATATATAAATATATATATATATATATATATATATATACACATAATGCCATTCGTGGCAGATTTTCAGCACAATTGACAGCTACCCAAAAACACATTGTGCTGAAAATCAACCAAATGGGGAGCATAAAAGCAGTACTTGCAGCTTTTATATAATCT